TTAAACAAAAGCATTGGGTCTCATTCCTAGAAATTCTGATTCTGTAGGCCTGGAGCAGGACCCCCACATTAGCATCTCTTAGAAATTCCCAGGTGATGCTGATATGGCTGGACCAGGAACCAGACTGTGAATGGCACAARTCTACACTAACAAATTAAAGTGACTTTTAGTAAATTGAACAATGTCAAATATAGTGCCTTAGGAAACAAGTGATAATGGGTTGGGCATCAACCTTTGTAAATACAAACAGAAAACAGCCACCTTTCAACTACCTTCTGTGTAAACAGATGCAAAGACCCTAACAGTAACAACAAAAGGCATTTATTGAGTTTTGACTATGTGCTGCACTTTTTTCTAAGTCCTTCACACATATTAAATTACTTTTACATTTCTATCTTATGACAGTCTTAAAAACTAATAATAACATTCTCCAGATCATCTCAATGACTATCTTATATTAACATTCAAATTAATTGCCCTCATTTTTGTTTGTGCCAAWGATTTCATTAACAGCAAAAAGTATGACTTGATGATCAAAAGCCATGAGAAAATGGCCGGGGTAAATGTAAGATGCATGACAGGACCCTGCTTAAGGATGGCCAAATGGAGCTCGGCATGAAACAAGGTTTGGATGAACCAATTGTTTGAACAGAGAAATGAAGTAGAGAATCGAAGCCTCATGTGGCATGTGGTACAGGCATACCAAACTCAAAAAGACCCTGGGCAACAGGTAACATTTTGAGCAACAAAACCACATAACTAACACATTTTATTGGCTTTTCTAGTTTTGTTGATATTTAATTTTGTAAATTTGGTTTTGTTTTTTGGCTATATAGAAACTTTTCATTGTATGAAAAAACACAATAGCACAAGGAATTTTATAGAAGCAATAAGGAGTCAGCATTAGAAGCACCCAAGAAACAGCTTCCTTCAAGAAAGCTCCAGCTGGGCATGGTGGAGCATGCCTGAATCCCAGTGGCTCCAGAGGCTGAGGCAGGAGGATGGAGAGTTCAAAGCCAGCCTCAGCAAGAGCAAGGTGCTAAGCAACTCAGTGAGACCCTGTCTCTAAATAAAATGCAAAATAGGGCTGAGGTTGTGGCTCAGTGGTCGAGTACCCATGAGTTCAATCCCCAGTACTGCCCCCTACCAAAAACAAAGAAAAAAGAAAGTTCCAGAGGTAGCTGAAGTTTGAGAACCTCTGCATAACAGTACTTTCTATCTCAGTGGTTCACAGTTGGTGAGATTTTTGTTCCCCAAGAACATTATCAATGTTTGTAAAATTTGGGGTTTGCTACTGGCATCAAGTGGGGCTTGCTACTGGTATCTGCTAAACATTACAAAACATTCCCCACAGCAAAGTTAGGCAGCCTGAAATGTCAATAGGGACAAGGTTTAGAAACTCTTGTCTGTCATTCTCTTTCATTCAGTAAGATTGGGCTACTTATGAAATTTACAAACTACTGCAGAAGACAAGACACACAGACATGAAATAACTAGAATAGTGTAAGAGATGGTGCTAAAGTATTTGAAGAAGGACCTCAGAAGCCACATGATACAATTTATCATGCAATGCAGAAATTTCCTGTTGGGGACTCAAGCTCCTTCTTCATCTACTTCTTTTTGAATTCTAATACTGAGGAGCTTATTACTTGGTATCACCAGAGGCAGGAAGCCAATCTCGTTGCTGAAATTCCCTCATGTTAGTATCAGAAAATTAATTCTTGAATTAAGCCCCAAATGTGCCATCCTATAAGCTTCATTTTTTGGTTCTAGTTTTGCTTTCTAGAGTAACAGCCCTGACCACTAGTTGACTAGAGATACTACAAAGTCTTGTACATGCATCAGCAGTTGGTTTCTCAAAACAACCTGGAGAACATTTATTTTTAAAATTTTTTTTATTTGGCTTATTTATTTATTTATTTATTTATTTWTTGTTGTTGTTGTTGTTGTTTATTTTAAACCAGAAAATATTTTGGCTTGCTGTCTAACTAACAATTCCTTCCAGATTTATTCCAACCTCCTTTTTTTTTTTTTTTTAAATTCAACGTCACTTACGTAGGCAGGTCTCCGTTTCCATAACTCTGCCCATTCAAAATAATCGTCACTAGATCTAGGGACTGAGAAGTAGTATTTGCTTTTTATCATTTGAAGCAAGAAAGGATTAAATGTTATAAAAACCTTTGGGATGTACTTTTACAAAGTGGAGATATATTGGCAGATTAATTAAGTACCAGCAATGAATGTAAATTTTCATTATGGTATTCAAAAGACATTTATTTCATACTTACTTTATACCAGGCACATATATCTTGTATGGGCTTCTCTTTCCTGACCAAAATCATGTAACTAACAAATAAATTTTATTATTTTATTGGTTTTGTAATTTTATTTATATTGAATTTTTAAAATTTGGATTCATTCTTTTGTTATATAGAAATCTTTCATTAGATTAAAAATACCACAAGGAAATTGATAAAAGCAATATAAGTCAACATTAGAAGCATCCAAGAAAGATCTTCTTTCAAGAAAGCTCCAGATGTACCTCATGTTTTTATCCTAAAGGAATGTTGGGTTTCATCAAATGCTTTTTCTGTCTCTCTTGAGATGATTGGATGATTTCCCCACTTCAATCTCTTGATATGATGTGTTTCACTGATTTACATTGAACCATCCTTGCATCCTTCAATATCAACTTGGTCATGGTGAATGACCAAGTAACCCAATTTAAAAAATGGGCAAGCTGATCAGAATAAACACTTCTCAAAAGAAGACATATACATAGCAAGACATATGAAAAAAATGTTCACTATCATTAGCTATCAGGGAAATGCAAACTGAAATTACAATAGATATCATCTCACCCTAGTTAGAATGACAATTACCAAAAAATCACTGGCAAGACTATGTCACAAAAGGAACTCTGTGAGTGGGGATGTAAATTAGTATAACCGTTATGGAGAACAATAAGGAAGTTCCTCAAAAAACTAAAAATACATCTATCAGCTATCCCACTGTTGGGTCATATGTTCAAAAGAAATGAAATAAGCATATCAAAAAGATACCTGTAAAACAATTTTTCAAACATGAGAAAATCTCATTATCTTTCTTGGATATAAAAGCATATAAGGAAATTGAATGATTCAATAAACCATTTCCTGAAAGAAAAGAAAAAGATACCCACATACCCATGTTTATTTAAGCACTATTCACTATCCACAGTAGCCAAGGTATGGAATCATCTTAGGTGCTCATCAACAGATGAATGGATAATTAAAATGTGGGATAAACAATAGATAGATAGATAGATAGATAGATAGATAGATAGATAGATAGATATAGATATAGATATAATGATATCCATATATAATAGTAAAATATTATTCAGCTATGAAGAAGAATGAAATAATGTCTTTTGCTGCAAAATGGATGGGAATAGAGGACATTATATTAAGTTAAATAGGCTAGACACAAAAAGACAAGAATTTCATGTTTCTTCTCACGTGTAGAAGTAAAAAAAAAAGGCCAGTGTGGTGGCCACACCTATAATCCCAGTGGTTCAGGAGGCTAAGGCAGGAGGATCACAAGTTCAAAGCCAGCCTCAGTAAAAGCAAGGTGCTAACCAACTCAGTGAGACCCTGTCTCTAAATAAAATACAAAATAGGGCTGGAGATGTGGCTCAGTGGTCAAGTGGCCCTGAGTTCAATCTCTAGTACCCCCATCCCCCAAAATTGACCTGAATATAAGAATAGGGATTGCTAGAGATAGAGAGGGGAAGAAAAGGTACATAAAGGGAGGCAGAATTTAATCAGTACACATCATATGTAAGTATTGAAATATCACACTTACCCTCATTAACAAGTACAATTAGTACATTTTATCAAAACTAAAAACAGTGCTTTAAAATTCTAAGAAAATCACACTCAGTTTTTAAGGGGCAATTATTATGGTTTAATGTAATCTGATCATTTAAACTTTCAAAGGTTTAAAATGTCCTTGTTCTATTTTTATGTGACTGGATCCTCTGTTTATTTTTGAAGCAATCATTAACATCTGGAAACCCCAGTTTGGCACATTATCCAATAGATTCTGTTCAAAGGATAGTTCTTATTCAGCTTTCAATATCCTGGAAGCTAGCAGAGTACCTACACGTTCTAAAAGTATTTGCTGAATGATTAAAGACAAAACTAAAYAGAAGAACCTATGAATTCACTTTCTCTTTTCCTCTGAAATTTTACAAACTTATTATCATTGCCCTTACTGGGAGAGTAATCATAAGGGTCTTTTAGTCATTTTTATATTTAATATACTTTATCCATTTGGAATAGATTGTTATAGATTCTTCTATAGCATCTTTCACAGATCTATAATCTAAATGGAATATTTGTTGGATTTAAGCTATTATTACTTACTTCTTTGCCCATTTTCTTCCTCAATTTCTTTCTCAGTTAACTAAAGTATGCTGAAAATACTTTAATCTCCAGTACCCCCCCATCCCCTCCAAATTGACCTGAATATCGAATAGAGATTGCTAGAGATAGAGAGGGGAAGAAAAGATACATAAAGGGAGACAGGATTTAATAATAATTGCCCCTTAAAATGTATGCTAAAACATTTATTGAATGAAGCCTCATTCCCCTTGATCTTAATTTTAAAAGAAATGAGTTCAACGGTTTCTCTTTTCTTAAAAAATAAACAGCAAAAAACAAAACAAAACAAAAAAAAAAACACAACTCCCTAAACTTGGTCAAAATTCCTTTTAACCATCTGTGAGGTTGTGAATATGGGAAAGATTATTTATATCTAAGCTAAATACTCTAATGTGCTTTTCCCAAAGATCAATGGCAGTCCAATAAAGATAGAGAAGATAGGAGGAGGCAGAAGCAGAGATGGAAAAACGGGAAGTTATCTGAGAAAAAAGGAAGCATCCAGCTCAAGGGATTTCAATAGCCAATAGAGTAGAACTTGAACAAAGAGAAAACTGTCAGTCACAAGCTGCTTACCTTTGCACCCCTCACAGGTCAGTGCATTGTAATGGTATCCAGATGCTCTGTCTCCACAAACAACACACAGCTCATCCCCTTTAATTCTCCCTGCGGATGTACCCATTCGGGGCTTCTTTGTTACAGGCATCTCTGCCATCTCAGTCTCTCCCTGGTACAGAGTCTCAGCTGGCATTCGTCTGAGTTCATATATTCCAGGAGAATACCACTCTTCAGGCTGCTGGGGGTAGACACCCAGGTTGGAATAATAGGATGATGAGGAAATCTGTGGTTGAACTTGGGGAAACTGAACATTGTTGTATTGTGAATATGGCTCCACATCTAGATTCTGTCCCAGTGGACCTGATGCTTGTTCTGTTAGCATACCTGAATAAAAGCAACAAACCTCAAATTAATGTCATTACTCTAGAAATTAAAGAGGCAGTTTAGCGTAATTGTTAGAAGTGTCGTGGGGACTGTGGAAGCTGATATTTTTGCATTATTTTCTGGGGTAGGAGATTATACCATCTTTTTACCATTTTTGATTTTTTTTTCATGTACATGTGTTATTTAAATTACTATAAAACAAAGGGGGAGCTAAGGAAAGAAACAAGAAAACAGTACTTGGAATCTATCTGGATTCAAATCCCTGTTCTGTTACTCACTATCTATGTGCAGTTGATGATGTCTTTAACATCTTTAAGTCTGTTTTCTCTTCATAATAAGTCTGTTTTCTTGTTGAATTGATGTAAGTATTAAACGAGAATGTTTGCTGAGTACTTTGTTAATTTTGGCACATAAGAAATACTCAATAAATTATATCTGACACTAAAATAGGAATAATGATTACTGTTCCTATGATCATTATTATTCAATGGGCTACTTATATACAAAACCACTAGGTAACAAAAAACTATCAGGTTATAAAAATGTCTCTATTTCCCATAAACATAAATTATAGCTTTAGAAAACAAAAATATTTGAATTTTGAAAAATGCTAAAAAATTTAATAAATCAAATTATATTGTGTGCATATATGTATGAATATGTAACAGTGAATCTCACTGATATATATAAAGAATCAATGAATTTTTTTAAAAAAACAGATGCAAAATGTAGTACACATAAATAAATAAGAGAGTATGTAAATGTGTGTGATTCATCAAAGTTTTGTTAGATAACCCTAAACCAAAATCCCAGCCCCATCTCTTATGAACAGTGACACTTTAAGCAAATTCCTTGTATTGATGAAGCTCAGTTTTCATAGCTGCAAGATTGGAATGAAAATATCTATATCCAAGGTTATATAGATCATTGAATGAGATAATACAGATTCACATTTTGGGGATCACATATGTTTTAGAATTTCAATTTTTTTTAAATTTCAGAATAGAATGCAGTGATATTTATATAACACTCTAGGACAAACCAAGAGTCAAATATAATATCTTCCACAGTGAAATGCATGAATAGTCAACTAAAGTAGAATAAGTAATAACCATAAATACTTTTATGCCCATTTAGATGCAGTTTTGCCACCAAATAAGTTTGTGCCAAACTTAAAAAAAAAAAAGCTTTATAATGCTTTTTGGAATTTGAAATAGGCAATTTTATAGGTCGAATTCTATATAGGTAGAATGCTCTTTGAAGTACTCAAAAGATGCCTAATATTATTACTATTGTTGGCAGAAAATTTTATAAAGTCCTTCCTAGACCATTATTTGTATACTCTCTTTTCCCACAAAGTCCCATGATGTAGATAATATTATTATGGCCCACTTACAAATAACTTGTGACACCCATTTGTAAACATTAATCATTTGGGGGCTGGAGTTGTGGCTCAATGGTAGGGTGTTTGCCTGACATGTGTGAGGCCTGAGTTCAATCCTCACACTGCATATAAACAAATAAATAAAATAAAAGATCCATTGACAGTTTTTTTTTTTTTAAGTCAAGCAATTTTACTCCTACCTACCTAAGTAACTGAGATTTGAACTTTGGGAGTCTGACCTCAGAGCCCCTGTACTGAATCACACTCTGGGAGAATTTCAGATATAAGATGTTTCAAAAGCATGAAAGGCAAAGCTTTCCTCTTCCTCTGCACTCTTACTTGAGTTTGTTACTCCTTTCAGTGCCTCTGTTTGCATGTACCTTGCAACTAAGCCTGTGAGGCTCTGCCTCTCCCCAGGCATTTTCCATGTTCCATCTTCTCTATTCTTCTTCTTTTTTTAATCTGTAGATGGACACAATACCTTTATTTTATTTATTTATATTGGTGCTGAGGATTGAACCCAGCGCCTCCCACTTGCTAGGCAAGTGCTCTACCACTGAACTACAACCCTACTCCCCATTTGTTCATCTATAAAGAGAAGATTGTGCTAGATGATGTTCTAATTCTTCTTAATTCTAAAATCTTCATAAACATACGACTAATAGTTCATAAGCATCAGAATTCAAGACTTTTCTACAATGGCAAAGTGGAGTATATACATATTAAATGTTTATCAAAAAGAATGTGCTCTGCCATGACCCAGGAAATCACTAACAGCACACAATATACAGTATCTGTGAAAAAATCAATTTCCGTTCTTTCATGCCCAACTTATCCACATAAGCCAGCAGAAAAATCAGTACAGCTGACATATGAAAAATTTTGGTAATGTTGCTTTGCCTTAGGACCCACAAAAATGGAAAAATAAAAATATGAAATGATTATAGAAAAAAAGATAAAATATAAGCAAAATCGTGATCCATTTCATAACCAAATGTGACTAAAATCTCCAGAGTGAATAGGATGGAAAAGAACTTTAAAAATAATAAAAGCATTAGTTTTGCTCATCCCTAGATTTTATCCTCCAGCATATTCCCTTAATTCTTCCCCTGCAGCCCAGGTTCTCTCCAATACAAGGTTAAGCAACTCACCCATAGTCAAATAACTAATTACTGAAGGAATCTGGATTCTGTACAATCCAAGGAAATGGACAATTTTTTTTCTCCTCTCAAACAATTTAAGATCTCTGAGCATTATTTCAACAAAACAAATATGTCCATAATCAAGAAACATAATAGAGATTCAACTCATGACAGATAATATTAATCTCTGGAATCATCTAAATTAACATAGGACATTTTACAAAGATATAGATAATATGATGCCAAACAATAAAGTGGCAAAAATATGAGAATGGTACATAATAATAGTAAATAATGCTTCTATTCTCAAAGTGTACCCACTTCTAGTATTTCACTGTGTGCTCACAAACTAGAGAGGTAAATATGCATAAAGCTTACAAGCAAAGAAACAACATGGCCAACATATTCCAAAATGGATGGACCAGAACAATATCCACTATTATATGGAGTTTTTAAACAACTGCCTACCCTTTGCAGATCCAATTTCTTCCATAAAATGGGACCACTAATCCCCAGTCCTGCTATCTTAGATGGAAGTTCTGATATAAAATACGGTTGTTAAGAAAAAAGTTTGATAAGTCCAGTACCACTAAAAGACAAACTGTTTCCCAAAGAACTTAGAAAAATCCCTATTTTAATGATAGCCAATTGATAGCTAATTCATACTTATTAACACAATCTGTTTTGATGACACAAATATGAGAAAGTTCTTTCATTATAAATGTGTATTGAACACTTACTTGCTACTGGCAGACATTGTATGAGGCTCTGAGGACATAATGGTGAATGAGACAGAAAAGGATCTAGCCTTTCTCTCATATGTGTGTTAACGGATAGGAATGATAAGGAACTAAGAAAGCAAATACAGACATTTTGTGACACAGAAGAAAATGGGGTGGGGGAAGCAGGTAAAGTGATTCAAATTTAAGGTATGTGATTTTTTTTTTTTTTGGTGGATTTTAAGGAGTCAGAAAATCTCCATGAAAGTTTAGGTAAGAGTTTTTAAATAAGAACATATGAATAAACTCCAGGAGAGTCTGAGAATCCCTGAAAAGGAAAACAGAATTCTGAATAGGTTTCTAGCTTTTGATAGACTCTCTAAAGGACTATTATGCAAAGGAACTTCCTGAGATGATGGGTTCCATACCTACGGATATGGTGACTACTAACCACATGGGGATACTGAACACTCAAGATGTGGCCAGTGATATGAAGGGATTAAATTTTTAAATCTACTTAATTCTAAGTAAATAAAATTTAAATCGTCACATGTGGCTCATGATTGTCATATCAGACATATAAAAAGTTTGTGACTAGAACCACTGTGCACCCAAGTGGGAGAATCAGGTTCACAATAATAATAGCAGCATTTTCCCATGACTTCAGTTTCTGATACTCCCGAGAAAGAGTCCAGGTTCCATCTAGTTTTTTGTTTTTTTTTTTTTAAATCTCTGGCACAATGCTGACCATAGCAAATGTCTAGTGACTGTTTATTGAATCAAAGTGAACAGAAAAATTGCCTTTTTGCCTTCCTTCATTTCCTATAATCCATGGTGTCTTGGCTGGACGGCACAACTTCATTTGTGAAGTTATTTGCTGATCCTGGCATCAGGCCTTTGTGATGTTGGTGCCTCTCTCTGCTTTGTCAGCTGATGACCTCCTCTGCTGAGTTCTGCCCCAGTTCCCTCAGGTGGAATTAATCTCTCCTACCCGCTGTACACACCTCTACTATAGTGCTTATCTAAAGCACGTACACTTTTATTTGATCAAGGCTTATCTTCCATGCTAAACTTGAGGTGGTATGAAAACTACTTAAGAGTGTACCAGGAGTGGGAAAATCTGCATTCAAGTCACCTGCAGCTTCCTAGATGTGTGAACTAGGGAAAGACATTGAACTTCTTTAAGCTTCTATTTCTTCCTCCATAAAGCTAGAATAATGTAGCTCCTATATCAAAGGTGGTAATAAGGATACACTAACATAAAGAATATAAAGTGACGGTGCCTGTGCAAACATGATGATATATTCAGTGCATTTTTGAACTTTTGAGGGGAAAATATCAGATTATATTCCCTTTCTATTGTTTCTGGCACCTGACACAAAGTCTGACACATAGTAAATTTTTAATAAACGTGTGTTAAATTGAAGGGAATAGAAAATTTGCTTCCCCAGTCTTCTGACTAATTCCATTTCTGAATATGGTGTCAATCACTCTGAGACATCCCATTTAAACAAAATGGTATGCTGCTAAGTCTGTGGTCAAAAATACATTCATAATTATAATTATCATAAAAATGATTAGAATTTCTTTTTGGTGGAGATTTTAAAAGGAGAGTTTCTGCTTTGAGAAAAGTGTTTAAACAATATTTATATTATACATTCTTTTAATTATAATGCATATTTTAATTCAGAGAGCACAAATAGCCTAAGTCTTATAGCTCAAATTTTTACTTATCTGATTTGCCATAGACTATTAGGAGAAGCCTACTGTGAAACTAGTTTATTACATTCACGTTTCTTATTTTATATTTATTGTTTTTTATCACATCCCCTAGTTTGAAATACATTTTATACCATGATACCTGCACAAACTTAAAGATATATAACTGAAAATTTCCATGAAATGACACATTTAATTCTTGAAGGACACTGTTATTTCTAGACTATTCTACTCTGTTCTGTTCCAGTTTTTAATACTAGTCACTAAATAGACTTCATGATCTACTGAGACTTTAGGCTAACCATTTTTAAAATAACACATTAAACAATGTACTTTAATTTTTTTCAAGTGTGCATTGACATTAACATTCACACTTCACTTGACTTAAAAGAATGGTACTAATTTGAAAGAATGGTGCTAATTGAACCTAATATCCTATAAAGAATTTTAGAGAAAACAGAATTAGTCTCAATAAGATACTCACCTGCTTAGAACCCTATAAAAATCACCCATCCCAACCTTTTACCCCCGTCTTCAGGATGTGACTGAATCATCTCTGATAGAGATCTACTGCTATAATCTCAAGCAAAAGACCCACAGATTTCCTCTGTCCAGCTGCAAAATCTCAACCTGGGACCTCGTGTGAACAGAATCCTACCTTTAGCAGGCTTCACGTTTATCATTTCTGTAACAAATCCCGACGGTGTATGGCTGTGGGGAGGACTAATTTGAATTGGATTTTCTAACCCCTGAAACTGCATTACCATTCTTAGCTAATTCACAGCAACTGAAAATGAGACTAGGTAAGAAGTGAGAGAGGCCAGAGGTTGTGTAGTTTACTGATTAACTTCATTTCAGAGTAGAATATTTGTAAATGTTTATGAGAAAAGTCCTCCATGCCAAATTGCCTAGTAAGCTGGAAACCAGTCTCTTAAACAAACATTTTCGGGCAACACTTTTCCAGCTTAAGAACTTTTACAGGGTAGATTTCTATTCAGTGGCTCTAAGTCTGTATTTTGAAGAGCAAGTGTCATGCTCTAGGTCTTAACAGTTGTTCCTATCAGAAAGCAAGAAGGTAATGTCAGGAAGCTATAAGACGAATGCTTAAATGTGGAGTCCTACCAACCTGGCCAGCTGGGTTTGTATCTGGTATGTTGAATTGTGTCCCATCCTACCCCAAAAATTCCTGTGTTGAGGTCTTAATCCCCAATGTCTCAGAATGAGACCTTGTTTTATGATCCATAAAAAATATCTTTGTATGTAGATATAATCAAATTTAAATGAAGATTAGGGTGAACTCCAATCCAACATGGTACACAGGCACACATGGAAAGAAGGTAATATGAAGAAACAGAGAGGAGACAGCTACTGACAAGCCAAGAGAGAGGGCCTAGATCAGACTTTTCCTTCACAGCCCTCAGAAGAAACCAACCCTGCTGACAACTGATTTCAGACCTCTGGCTTTTAKAACTGGAAGATCATATAATTTTGTGGCTTAAGTCACCATGTTTATGGTACTTTTGTTCTAGCAGCCCTAGTAAACTAATACACTGTCATTCTTGGTTGGCATTTACTAGCTCTGTGGACCATGAACAAATTCCTTAACCATTTTCTGCCTCTGTTTCTTCATTTGTAAAAATGGGGCTGATAATGATATAAACTCATAAAGTTATATGTGGATTAAATATATATAAAAATCTTGGCACAATGTATGACCACCTGTCATCAATATATTGATGTTATGATTATTCAGCTTTGGACTCATGTTGCAGCTTGGGTTGCTTACAAAACAGAAATAATTCCATTTTGTATCTTGTAGCATAATTTCTAGACATCAAATTTAAATCTATTGGTTACTTTTTAGAGAGAAAGTTCCAGAAGAGAATTCAGTAGGGCCAAGGTTGAACCCAGGCATCATACAGTCAAACATGTATAAACTTAGGCAAGTCTCTTAGATCCTGTGGGCCCCATTTTATTACACTAAAAGATGGTAGAACACAGATAATAATTCCTGCCCTCATAGGACCGTTATGGAGGTAAAATGAGATAATGAACATGAAAGCAGTTTTAAGAGGCAAAGGTGATATATAAATGTAGTGATTGCCAAGATTTCTCTACAGTCTTTGCAAGTACACAAAGTGGTTCCCATGACATTATCTCCTTGCATCTTCACTCCTTGACTTTGAGGAAGGTATTATTTATGAGGCCTACTATCTTCAATCCCTTTTTACAGTGAAGTTAAGTGATTTGTGTAGAGTGACCCAGTTGGTAGGAGATGGAGCAGGGACTTCAACCCAAGACTTCTGGTTCAAAATCCTGTGGTTGAAAAAACTAAGATGCACTCTCCTGAATTTACCAAGAAAGAAGAAAAGAGCGGTGGTCTATGGGTATGTTTTGGCTTGCATTGCTCAATCAAGAGTTGCCATTTGCTACTCTCAGTTTAGCTCTGACCTCATTCTCCTCCCCTCAGAATCCAAGAACTCTCCTTGCCCTGAGAGGATCTCAGTTGGAAGGTCTACCCAAAGGATGTGAACCAAGACAAACAATCTCCAAATTTTCTTATTTCAAGAATTCTCCACTGTTTTTTCACTGGTCAACATAAATGGACCTATCTGTTACTCAAAAACATCAATTCTAAATAAGAAATGAGTGGGATAATTTAGAGGATCCAAGAGTCCCTGGTAACTGAGTGAAACTCGTACAGAATATTCTCAATGTAGGATGAATTGGATCCCCTTATATTTTTTGGAGATGATCAACTGTCTTATGTTATCTTTTTCTTCTAAAAATACTTTTTTCCTGCAAATCTGTCCTGTCTGCAACAGTAGCCACTAGCTGTATATGGTTATTTAAATTTAAACCAAGTCAAATTAGAGTCAATTCCTCTTTCACACGGGTCACGTTTTAAGTGTTCAATAACTACACATGGACAGTGGCTACTAGATTGGACAAAGTAGATCTAGAATAGTCCATCATCACAGAAAGTTTTATTGGACAGCACTGTGGTAAGTGGAACTTGGGAACAATGTGAATGATAGGTCAATCATGTTGAGTAGGGCTTTGGCTATGAAGGTAGGAAAAAGGGGAAATCCCAGAAAAAAAAAYATTGGCAATGCTTTTCTGAGCACTATTCTTGAGAAGAGATGTGGTCAACAGAGTCTAACATAATCTCATCGGAAAGACTTTCTCCATTGAATATGTGAATAGAACTGTTCTCTTAGCCTGGAGCCTTTAAACATTCCAATCTGACTCCATGTCCTGATTGTATTTTGGTGGCCTACTTACTAATATGGAATGTTAAGCAGGTTATTTAATATCTTTAAATATCCATTTTCTCACCATGGAGGGGGGAATAGTAATGGCATCCACCTCAGAGGAGTGTTGTGAGAATTGGTATTAATGGCAGATTCACTACAGGTACTGACCATGCGCCTGGCATTCTTCTGAGCACTTTATTGAATAAGGCAAAGAATTTACTACAGAGTTAAGGAATTTGCCTAGGATCATAGACTAGCTGATGCAGAAATAGAACTGAGCCAGGAAGTCTGCTAACAAATCTACACTGCACTTAGTATGATGGCTGACCTATAGTTAACACTGTAATTCTTCTATCTCTGTAAATTTACAAATTTGAAATATGATTTTATAGTCCAATAYTTCTCAGCTTGGTGTCCTCTGAGAATCTGTTTCTGAGCCTTCAAGGTTGAGAGCTAGATCCTAGAATGCAATGGAGTCTCCTACCAGCCTTTCAATTTGTCCGTTGCATGCCTTTACCAAACTATTCATGCCCTACCTAAAAGAAGCATTAATCTTGTTTTGTAACAAGGAAAGGCTCATTCAATATTTCTTTCCTTTCCCAAGTCCTTCATTGCACTAACAGAAATAACAGATCTGAGATTCCTTGACAGAGTAAAAACCAAAGCCACAATGAATTAACAAAAACTTTAGAGACTGATTAGAGCTGTGGGAGAAATGTGAATAAGAAATTAATAGTGATGAAATGGTTCAAGTATGCTAAAACAAAGCTTCATTTTTTTCTGAGCCAATGGTAGCTTTCCATGTTCTGRAAACTTTACATTTTAATTCAACCAATAAGTCAAAACTACATTCACTTGAGTTGAACTCAATGAAATGGAAAAATACACTTGAAATCAAGTGTCAGAAATATTCTACAAAACTGCACCTCAAGACTTTGAATTGTATTTTAAAACATCTACATGACTCTATAACATCTGGAAGAGTCTTTTAATTTAAGTTTATGTCATAAGCAAGAACCAGATTCCAAAGTGAGTATCTTCTATAAAAATAAAGCATACACAGGGGCTGGGGCTATAGTTCAGTGGTAGAGTGCTTGCCTTGCATGTGCAGGGCCCTGGGTTCAATCTCTAGCATTTCAAAATAAAATAAAATAAAGCAAATGCAGAAAAAAATGGCTATACATAGCTGAGTGACACATAAAGCAAGAAAAAACAGCCAAAGGAAATGGAATGTAAGTTGTGAGGATTGTATGGGATCTGCCTTCTGCCACTTGTTGAGACTCTCAAAATGGGGCTTTGGAAAAACTGTTGGCTACAATAATAAAAAGAATACAAAACGTGGATTTCAAAGCTATTGCCAGCAATACTGTAAAGCCAACGTGAGACAGATCATGTGTTCCCTTCCTTAAAGGACACAGAAATGTGTTTACATATTGTTAATTTTATTGGGTCTTTGAAAATTCTTTGCACTCAACAATGCTAAGATAAACAGTACTTCCTTCTTTTAATGAGCAAAGTAGTGTTTATCATTTCAACAATTTAAATATAACACATTCCTTTCAAACCCTGGATTAATTAGGATGTTTCCTGATGACTTGCAGTTTGCAGAACACTTTCCCACACGGCCCATTCATTCCTCCCTTGTGCTGTGAAGTCATTAGCACCTCTATTTCACAGGGGAGAGAACAGAAGTTCAGAAAGTGTCACTTGCCTTGGAGACTTTTTTTTTTTTCAATTTCGTTTCTTTATTTCCACTCACATTCAGTGAACTTTTCTCAATATGACTGAGATAAATGAATCAAGATGCACCACTCTGGGAACTTYAGGCATGGGAGTATAAGTCTATACTTTCTGTGTTTATTCTCCTCCATTACTACAATGCTTTGCTTATTAGTCTTAAAAGTTCTGTGGCTTTTTAGTTTTTAAATCAAGATTTGCTAAAAGAAAATATAGATTTTAATTAATATACCACCCCTGACCCTGTTCACTATGTCAAAACCTGGAAAGCTGTGGACTTTGTCATTACTGCCTTTTATTATGCATTAATCATATACCTTGCCTTCATTCAAAGAGATGCCTTTTAAAAACCACCGAATTAATCTTTGACCGAGTTTCCTGGCTTGCAGGCCCTCTCAAAGGAAAGGAGACTTCTCTTGTGAGGTCACCAAGTCCTTCCATTCCGAGTCATCTGYGGGGATTCAGTTACCTATGGTCTAGATTCCCATCTGGATTTACCAGGGCAGCAGACTAAATTAAAGGGCCTCGGGGAGGTGATTCTAGTATCTCATCTTTAGCTCCATTTTGCCCAAGCTTTTTTCCTCCTTTTTCTGGTGATGGTGTTACAGTCCTTCGGCCATCTCTGACTTGATTTGCAGAATCAAGTTATCCTTCGTGAGCACAGACTCACCTCAGGCTGACAGCCTGTTATTTCAAGAACATGCTGCCCGCCCTTTTGCTTTCTGACCAGAACTTCTCCAACAGCACAGGACAGAGCTGGACTTGAGCACAAGGACAGTCCAGAACTATGGGAGAGTCAGT